CCCCAGCCTCATCCCCCCCCAGCCCTCTCGTCCCTGCCCACCCCTGACCTCACCCCCTCTCACTCTTAGCAGATTTGGCTGCTGCTCCAAGATGCTTTTGGTGTTGGTGGGGTGGGGGGCCCTGACTCAGACTCACTTTTCATTTGATGCAAAGTGAAAATGGGCCTTTTCCTGACCTGAACCAGCTCCCGGGTTTCCGGGGGCCCTTCGCCTCTGTACTCTGACCATCCTAAGTAACGAGAGATGCGCCATTCCCAGGGCCCATGTGGTCCGACCGCGGGGAGCCCCCCGTGAGGTGACCTACCACAGGCTGCCACCACGTGGCTTGGGGGAGTGTTGTCCTCTTCCTCACAACCGCCCCCCCACCCAGGTCCACGCCCTGCCCCAGCGTGAAGCACGGAGACGAGTGGGGCGAGCCCTCGAGGTGCGCCAGTGGGGACAGCTGCCAGTACTGCCACTCCCGCACTGAGCAGCAGTTCCACCCCGAGGTACGCGGGCTGGGGGCTCCGTAGTTTTAGCTGCTTTTGTTCTTGGTTTCGTGTTAGTATTCCAACCCTGATTTTACTCCGTGGCTTGGTGGGGAGGCTCGCAGCCACCTGGGTGTGTAAATCTGTTTCACGAGCCACAGTCTTGTCTAGAGTGTTTGCTTTCTGTTTTGCTTTCAAATTCCAATTGTTTATTGCTGGTTCATCAGAGAGCAGTAGACTTTTGTATATTAATCTGGTATCCTGCAACCTTGCTATAATCTCTTATTAGTGCCAGGAGGTTTTTTGTTGATCCTGTGGGATGTTCTATACAGATGATCAAGTAACCCACGAAAAAGACAGTTTTATTTTTTCCTTCCCAGTCTCTGGACTTTTCTTTCCTTGTCTAATTGTGTTACTAGGGCTTCCAGTACGATGTTGAATGGGGGTGGTGAGCGGGGACATTCTTGTCTTGTTCTTGATATTAAGGGGAAAGCATCTAGTTTCTCGCCCGTAAGTGTGATGTTAGCTGTGGGTTCTGTAGATGTTCTTTATCAAGCTGAGGAATCACCTCTCTATTCTGAGTTTGCTGAGAGTCTTTATCATGAGTGGGTATTGCATTTTGTCAGATGTTTCTTCTGCATCTATTGATATAATTGTATGAGTTTCTCTTCTTTAATCCAAAAAAATCAAGGCCCTTTTCATCAAGTCATTTCTGACTCGTGGTGACCCCATATGTTACGTAGTAGAACTGAGCTCCATAGGGTTTTCTTTGCTGCAGTCTTTATGGAGGAGCCCTGGTGGCACAGTGTTTAAGAGCTTGGCTACTAACCAGAAGGTTGGCAGTTCGAATCCACCAGCTGCTCCTTGGAAACCCTATGGGGCAGTTCTACTTTGCCCTGTAGGGTCACTGTGAGTCGGAATTGACTCAGCGGCAATGGGTTTTTTTTTTTTTTTTGTTTAATCTTTATGGAAGCAGATTGCCAGACCTTTCCTTTCCTCTGTGGCACTGCTGGGTGGGTTCCAACCCCCAACCTTTTGGTTAAGTGCAAACTGTTTGCACCACCCAGGGGCTATTTTCCACACAACATCTAGACGCATGAGCAAGATAAAAGCATAATGGGGAAACTGACCTTTGTTCAAAAGTCATCGAGTGCTTCATCTGGAACATTCTGGGGACGTTTTCTGGGGCACATGAAAGTGGGTGCTGAACTCAGTGGGCAGGAAGTAAAACGAGGTGTTTGAAATGGCTGTGCTCAGCGAGTGCACCAGCAGAGATGACACAGCAGTGTGAAGGTTCCGGAAGTGTGGCCAGGGTACCTCGTCCTCAAGGTTGTGATTGTATTTCATTTCTTAGAATCGAGTTGTATTCAGAGACCCTGTGCTGTCAGACGCACACAAATGATAATTAGCGGTCTCGGTATTTTCAGTTCTGAATTGAAGGCACTTTCAAACTGCTTCTGTGGGTTGGCACTGAAGTGTCAGCATATGCGCTCAGGCTGTGATGGTGGGGATGGGGAGGTTTCCCAGTGAATCCAGGACTAAACGCGAAGGGTCGATTTGTTTTCCCACTGCTTAGAAAAGTTAACAAGGCCAGCATGGGCCTGACTGCCCAGTTTGGTGAGGGTCCCTCCATTCAAACCCTCCCCCCACCTCCGCCGCCGCTTTGTTGACAGAGACCAGAACTCAGTCAGGAGGGCCAAGTTCCTGGAGGGGGAGGCCCTGTGAGGTAGGGGAGTCAGGGCCCTTGAGGCTGCTGTCTCCTGTCTGGGGTCCTTGGTACCTCCGGGCCGGCCCTCGGTGTCATGGACGCTGAGTGAAGTGACCTTGGGTCTGGCTATGGAACAGACGGACACATATGTTTGCTTAGCAGTATTTTTTGAGCACCTGCTGTATACCAGGTGCAGTGTTAGCTGTCTCAGAAAAGTTCAAGTGGAAGCGGACTTTGCTTGTGACTTGATGCCACAGTGGGCTCTCTGTGCACAGGCTTCTCCCCACGGCCCCACTGGCTCTGTGGGGTGAGTGCAGAGAGGTGGGCCTTCCCCGTCAAAGGGTGAGGAGTGGGGAAGCAGCGCCCCCTTCAGGAGACCCTGCTGTGATCTGGAGCCGCTGCCCCCTTGTAGCCGAGCGCCCGGCTCCGTGTCCCTGGCCTTTCTCGTGGAACCCGTTTGCCAGCCACGCCTCCAACTCTCGTTTCTGTGTTCCCAGATCTACAAATCGACAAAATGCAACGACATGCGCCAAAGCGGCTACTGCCCCCGGGGCCCCTTCTGTGCCTTCGCACATGTGGAAAGTAAGTCCGGGGCGCCGGCCAGGTTCCTTGCTAGCCGCCATCTGTATACCGAGCGGCCCGAGCTGGAGCTTTCCTGGTCTCCTGAGCACGCTGTTTTGCGGGGGGAGGGCTCAGCATGTAGGAAGGGGAGTAGGGAGCGCCCCAACAGACCTGTTTAGGGCCACTTGGGGGGAGGGTGAGGACCATGTGTCAGGCCAGGTTCCCTGGACCAGAGACCCCACCCCTGCCCCAGGTCTGGCCACGTGGAGCCTGGAGCTGCCCCTGCCTCCAGGAATCCTGGGCTGAGTGACTGGGCTCTGGTCGGACCAGACAAAGCCTCCACCTGGTGCAGCCACCTGCCTGCCTCCCGAGTGGGCGGGCCGGGTCCCTGAGCCTGGCACGTACCTGCCCACTACACCGGGCCCCGACACCAGCTTCCAGCCTTGTCCAAGTGGTGCCACCCTTGTGGTGGGGCTGCGTGTCTGCCTCCGAGAAGGACAGCGCTTCGTTTCCTCTTTTCCTGTGTTCATCTGTCAGTGTGACGAGGGGCTGCTCTTGCTGACCACAGGGGCTCCTAAAGTTGCCAGAGGGGAGACACCACCCCACTGTGGCACAGCGTCGGGTGGGAAAAGCCCACAGACACCCCTCCCCACACTCCCCGGGGGCGTCACTTAAAAGGCTCTGAGTTTGAGCCCAGTTTTTGTGACTATAGCTGCAAACTCAAATCTTTGTTTTACTAATTTATTTTTGTTGTTGTTGAGTCTGTACATAGCAAAACATAAACCAGTTCAGCAGTTTCCACGTCGGTCGCGTTCTCGGAGTCGTGCGGCCATCCTCATCCTCCTTTTCTGAATCGCTCCTCCCCCGTTCGCGTGAACTCAGTGGCCCCTAAGCTTCCTTATCTAACCTTTCCATTGCTGTTGTCAGTTTAATCTCATATAGATAGTTCTTAAAAGAGCATAATGCTCAAGGCAGACACCTTTACTAATTGAGCTAAACAATCAGCAAACTCAAATTTCACTTTCTCTTTCTTATTTGAATGGGGAGGGTGGCTATTCTTGTTCAAATGAAGAATTTGTTTTTTAGGGTTAAAATCACTGAAGAGAGATTTGAACCAATAGAATCCAAGGGTTACGTTGCTCAAGGTGCTTCATCCTGGTGGTTGAGGAGTTTTTGTTTTCCCACGCTTACAAAAGTTAATAAGGCCAGCGTGGGCCTGACTGCCCGGTTTGGTGGGGGCTTCCTCTACTCAAAGCCTGCTGCCCCCTCTTTCTTGGCAGAGAGCATTGGAATCTCAAGTGACTGGGGCTGCCGCGATCCCAGCTCCACCAACAGCCCCGTGGCCAGCAGCGGCCCGCCGGGAAACGTAAGAGCATTCTGAGGAGGAAGCCGGCGGTCAGCCGTCCGTGACCGCATCATTTGGATTTCCACTGAACCTTTAGGAGCACAGACAGGCGGTGCGGTTGGAGGGAGGCAGCCTGCCTGGTGGAGTCAGCAGGTTCTTCTAGAATGTTCTAGAAGAGTCTTGGCCGCGTTCTCTCCCGGCCAGCTGACTCGTTCTTGCCCTTTGCTGGACTCACACCTGCTGTCTGGCTGTGAGTTGGAGGCTTGGTCCTCAGGATCATGTTCAGAAAGGGTGCTGACTCCTCCCCAGACCGCAGGCCCCACGGCCAGGAAGAGCAGAGGCAGGGTCAAGGGTGGGAGCTTCTCCCTGCTTTTCACTGATGTCGGTGTTTCTCTGTTGCAGGTAAAGCGGAGAGATTCGCCCACGGAAGGCGGCCAGAAGGCCAGCGAGCACAGCGGGAAGCAGGTACCAGCCCCGCGGTGGCGGTTACACGGCCTTTGCCGCCAGATGACACCGTCCTCCATCACTGTTGTCATTTTACATACAGCCGCTCACAAAGTGATCTGGTTAAGGCCGTTTGGAATCGAATCGTGTTTTTCTCTGTGTCTCAGAATACTCTGTTCCTCGTGCTCTGCGGTTTTGATGTTTAGTTTTTAATGTTTTAATATTTGGGTGCATCTGAGAAACAGCAAAGCCAAGCGTCTTGTTGTCTCATGGAGGAGAAACAGTAGGTTCCCCTTCTCTCGGGGACTCCCATCAAGGTCACCTCCACACCTTAAAGGTCGTTATCTGGAGAGGAGAGTGCCCATGTGTGGGTGTGAGGACGTGGGTGGGTTCTAAAGGAGGCCCAGGTGTGGTAGGTAAGGAGGTAGGCGGGGCCAGGAGGAGCCTCAGATTGGGGAGGGAGGAGGGGGGAGGGGTCAAGAGGAAGCCAGGTGTGGGGGGTGAGGAGTTGGGAGGGGTGAGGAAAAGGAGAAAAGAAAAGGTAAAGGTCGGCGCTGGTCGCCGAGGTTTTGTTGGTCGTTTTGCTGCACCCCGTGTGCCTGCAGTGCGGTGGCCTCGTGCTGTGTCCCCCACGCCCCCACGTTGGCCGAGCTCGGCCGCCCCGTCTGTTCCACCTGATCCAGCCTCTGTTTGCTCAAACAGAGTTGTTTGTTTTGGGAAACAGTTGTTTTTCCTGGACACCACAGCCCTAAGGACTCCAAAAGCCTTTGGGTTTCTTCATGGCTGTTAAAAAGCAGCGAGTGTTCTGGCTGTTTCCGGAGTCACTGAAGAGACTGTGTTTTGGGGAGGCAGTGAGCATGTCTGTCTGCTGGTCTAGGAGCCGGCTAACTGTCCTTTTGCAACCTGCCCGTGATGTTCACTTTTCACTCCCTAAGTTGACGAGCCCTCGTGTTCTCTCCTACTCACTTTCTTGACGCCTGACCCGAGGGTCCCTCCCGGAGGATTTTTCTCCCAAGTGGCTGTGGAAGCACATTATTTAGTTACTTATTTTCTACTCGGGGCTTCTGAGACATTTTTAAAATCAGCAGAAGGACGGCTGAAAGTACACAGTTGTGTTCTTCTGTGGTGAGATTGTAAGTGATTGAAGTGCAGACATTGGCCTGCCTTGGGGCTGTGGATGATGGCCTGGAGCAGGAGTGGGGCAGGACTTCCTTTCTCTTCATGGCTGAGTAACATCCCACTGTGTGAACAGACCACACTCTGTTTCCAGATCGTCTGTTGACAGCTGAGTAATGTCCCGCTGTGTGGACGGACCACGCTGTTTACCTCTCGTCTGTTGATGGCTGAGTAACGTCCGCTGTGTGGACGGACCACGCTGTTTACCTCTCGTCT